CTGATGGCGGTACACCTCAGTGAACTTACACAGGAGCTGGGGGGCGGTACCTGGGGGACAGCTATGCCGACATAACGGACATGACAGAGCCTACGGACGAGACGGCCAAGGCGGCTGGAGGACCGCCCCCCTCAAAGAATATCCTTCAATGCTGTGCAAGGCAATGGCAACTGCATTCGCAGCCCACTGGGGACAGCTCGCTGACGAAGAGGCAATGTGGGCCGAAACGGATGAATGCTATCACAGGTCCTACGCCCCCCTGGACTACTACATCGAGCCAGAGCAGCTGGGCCACGACTGTCACAGGACATGGGGTATCCAACGGCGCTAGCAGCTGACACTGCAGCGGCACTACGTTTGCCTGCACAGATATTCGGGTTTAATTGTTTCAGGATTATTCATACTTGCCAGTCCATGGAAGGGGCCATCAGATTGCAGTTTGGCGCACAGACTATTGGCATCTTACAGATTGGAGGGCAGTTGGTATTACAGAATGGTGCACAGTTGGGTAATATTTCAGAGTGGCAGCAGGCGCGTCAGCATCAGTGCTCCTACTGTATGTATTCAAGACCCGCATTACTATTGGGTTATTGGCACGGCTTCGTCCTGGACAGCGATTGCGTGCCATACTCGAGGGGGGGGGGACCCGTAGCGCCCATACGGGTGGGCACGATCCCTCAATGGCGACGGAGCGCGCCCCCCCCTCGAGCACTTTCTGGATTTATTGGCTTTCTTTCAACCCTGGCATTCACTTCTATGATTATCCAGCGCCCTGGACAAGAGCAGCATGTACACGGCAGTATATTCGCGGCAAAGAGCCTCCTGGGAGACAGGCACTACTTCGCCATGGGTTAAGTCCTGAGGAAGCCCCGAATGCGTGGGAAGACCTCAGGCAGCGTCGCCAAGTTTTGCCTTGGTTAGGACGCAAGTCCTGGGGAAGCCCCGAATGCGAGGGAACACCCCAGGCACAAGTCGCTACGTTTTGCTGTGAGTATCCTGGCGGCGGCTGGCTACCTACAACTCGGAGGACACCAGCTGGTTGGCAGCGGGCGGTCCACACGGCGCCGTCGCACTACTGACCGACATCGACAGCAATCCCAGCACGGCCCCGCACACCCCTTGTCAAGTCAACGCTGCCCTGGTGAGGCATGGATCAAACTTCGAGACGGGCTCGAAGGGCGGGGGGGAAGGACGAGTACTTCCCGCGCCCACCAGCGGGGATGGTGAGGGGCAGGGGGGGGGGGGGGGTAGGACGACCACTACCTGCGCCCCCGCGGTCCGCCCTAGCTCGCCACCCCCACCATTCCCATGGAGAAGGAGGAGCTACCCGAGCGCCCGAGGGCGAAGCACAGGACAGCCGAGACATCCCACTCCGACGATAATAAGTACCAGGCCTGGGGTTCGCCCCCACCGAGGGCACTGTGACCCCTAGCCATAGCGGGACGAGGTGGGACAGCCAAGACCCCCACTTGAAGTCGGTGCATGGAGGCCTTGGAAGCCCACAACCAACGCAACACCAGCAACGATCCGACTCCCCAACGACCTGACCAGCACGCTTCACACCCTACACTCAGCCCTAAAAACGACCGCCATCCACAACCCCCAAGATCAGCGCCCTCCTGTACTGCAGAGGCGGGGGCGACATGAAGGAGGACATCGGACACTACGGCTAGTCGAGTACCAGGACGACCAGCACGACTGGACAGGAGTACGCAGGAGTACCACCCCGTCCAGCACGGCTGGGACGAGGGATACAAGTTCGAGCACCACAGTGTCAAGCAGCACTGCAGGCTCGAGCACATCATGGACTACTCGAAGAGAAGGGGCGGCGCGCCCCTCGGCGAGGGATACACAGCGCCAGGCGCCGAAGGGTGTATCCCCGTCGCCCTCGCGTGGCATGCGAGGGGCCGAGGCCAGTCGGCCCTGATCGGCATGATGACGAGAGCAGCCGCTGCAGACTTGCTGGAGCCCACGAGCGGCTCGGCGAGCCTCCACAGCGCGCTGCGCCGAAGGGTGGAGGCCGCCGCAGCTGGGGGCAGCCAGCCACCCGAAGACCCCACGGCGGCTGGGCTCAGCGCGAGGCGCCGAAGGGAGCCCAGCCGCCACCACGCGGCCGCCAGCCCACAAAGAGGCCGTCGGCCTGGCCGTGCGCCACGCTGCCTGACGCCCGCGGGCGCGGGCGCGCGCGGCGCCCGCCCGTGGGCCCTGACGGGCCCCCTTTTTTTTGCTGAAACCCGGCCCCCTTCTCTCTCCTCTGAGGTTTAACTTGGTCCCTGGTTCCCCCTGCTTTCCTCGGGGTCGGGTTCCCGGGGCCGCTGTCCGAGTGCCCGCACGGCCCTGAAGGGCCGCTGCGGCGCGCTCCGCGCCCGCGGGGCGCGCGACAAGACGCTGCATAGCGAGAAATGTAGAAATGTAGGAGGCTGTAGAGGAGAGAAGACGAAGGCCAGCGAGCCCGCCATCCAGAGACACGCCCAGGCAGGTGGGCGCGGTGTGCGCGCCCACATCCCTGGCAGGGGCAGGAGGCTGCGCAAGCAGGGCTCCCACCACGGCGGTGGTGCTGGCCCAGGCTTGGGTCGGGCTTGCCCTCCTACAGGAGGATTTTAAAAAGAACATCAAATCGAGAACAATCAACATATATTTAAAACAGTACAGGAATAGTCAGAAGATCGTCCCCCGACTATTATTCTACTACTTTTGAATGTTCCTCCTGCAGAGGGACATGCCCGACTCAGGCAGCCCAGGCGTGCAGCGCACGGCGGAGCACCCCGCCGAGCAGGTTGGACGCAGGGCACCGAACCCGAGCCGCCCGGGACGTCGGAGCGGGAGGCCGCGTGCAGCGGCGAGGAGGCCAGGGACACGAGTTGCGGCGGGGCCTCCAGGGCCAGGAGGGGCAAGAGCGAGGCGGCGGAGCCGCGCCCGTGCGCCCCAGCGAGAAGGGCATCATAGAGGAGGAGGAGGAGGAGGAGGAGGAGGAGGAGGAGGAGGAGGAGGAGGAGGAGGGAGAGGGAGGAGGAGGGAGGGAGGGAGGGAGGAGGGAGGAGGGAGGGAGGGGAGGAGGGAGGAGGGAGGATAGAGGGGGGGAGGGAGGAGGGAGGAGGGAGGAGGGAGGAGGAGGAGGAGGAGGAGGAGGAGGAGGAGGAGGAGGAGGAAAGCAGGTGCTCGAGGAGAACATCTTGGACGCGGAGTTCGAGGGCAAGGGCGCCGAGCTGAAAGGCGGCCCTGCAGACCTCGTCGGAGCAGCTGGCCTTGCGTTGGTCTGGCACGGACGTCCGGAAAGCTTTGAGGCCGCGAAGAACTTGCAGCAGAAGACAGAGCTCCTCCTCCTCCTCCCCCTCCTCCTCCTCCTCCTCCTCCTCCTCCTCCTCCTCCCCCTCCTCTCTGCTCCTCTTCCTCCCCCTCCCTCCCCTCTTCTTCCTCCTCCTCCTCATCCTCCTCCTCCTCCTCCTGCTCCTCCTTCGCCTCATCCTCGCACTCCTCCTCCTCCTCCTCCTCCTCCTCCTCATCCTCCTCCTCCTTTCCCACCTCAAGTTTGCCCTTGTCGTCATCATCAGCCGCCGGCTTAACATCATGATCCAACTGACAATCCTACTCACCGTCATGAACTGTATCCTCCTCCGCCTTCTCCTCGTCCTCTCCTACCTCATCCTCCTCATCGGCATCCTCCTCGTCTTCCTCGTCTTGCTCCTCCTCCTCCTCCTCCTCCTCCTCCACCTCCTCCTCCTCCTCCTCCTCCTCCTCCTCCTCCTCCTCCTCCTCCTCCTCCTCCTCCTCCTCCTCTTCATCATCCTCCTCCACCTCATCCTTCTCGTCACCCTCTTCCTCTAAACCGCCCTCACTGTAGGTGGGGGCAGGTTGTTGCTTCCAGCGGTCTCCCCCGATGGTGATCCTGAAATTGCGGTGTGAGGCAATTGCAAGATCACCGCATTAAGATGGTTTCTGTCTTCCTGGCGGACGGGAGCCCCGTTTTGTCAGGCAGCCGCGTGGCCGTATGTACATCGCGTGATCATGTGGCAGCTATGCCTGGGGAGGTTTACTCTTGCGAAACCCTGGCGGGGACCCGACCGCAGCTTTAGGGGAGGCAGCGGAAGCAGGCTGCTGTAGGCAAGGTTTCCGGCTGGGCACCGAGATGTGCGGGCTGGAGAACGGGGCCCTGGACGGAGGCCACTGGACAGGACCTGGCCTTTCTCGTTGCTCGACGGGCTCCGAGTCTCGTCTCCCCAGGAGGTCCAAGCTGGCGAGCTTCAGTCTGGGGTCGGTCGGAGCTTCTCGCCAGGTCTGGCGAGGGCTCCCAGCTTCGCGCTCCGCGCTGCGCGAGCGCGCGAAGAGCGAACAACTTCGCGCTCTCGCGCCGCCTCCCAGGGGAGAAGAGGAGGACGAGAAGGAATCGGAGCCGAATCGCGAAGCGCCAAGATCTTCGCGCCCTCGAGGGCGCCCCTGTTTGGGCTGGCCCGGGAGACTGTTGGATGCACGGGCGACCTGGGCAGAGGGCGCCTCGGGGCTGCCGCCGCCACCGCCGCGGGAGAGTCGGCTGACGGCGGCTCGGATTCGGCTTCCGGGGAGCAGCGTTGGGCATCGCACGTCGTTCTTGGGGAGTTTGTTCAGGGCTGTCCGGCATCCCTCGACGGACTGCTCGTTTCAGCGAGAGAGCGAGAGACAGGAGGAGGAAGAGGAGGAGGAGGAGAAAGAATTGTATAAGCAAAAAACCAAGAGGAGAGAGGGGAAGGAGGAGGAGGAGGAGGGGAGGAGGAGGAGAGGAGGAGGAGGGGAGGAGGAGGAGGGAGGAGGAGGAGGAGGAGGAGGAGGGGGAGGAGAGGAGGAGAGGGAGGTGAGTCTGGGGGGAGGGAAAGGAAAGAGGAAGGAGTGGGGGAGGAGGAGGACAACGGAGGAGGAACAGAGGGAGGGAGTGGACGACGACGACGACGACGACGACGACAACGACGACGACGGAGACGACGACGACGAGGCAGATTCAAAGCCCGCAGCGGGCGGAGGTCGCGAGC